TTTTAAATAGTAATTTTTTTACAAACTATTCTTTTTTACCCTTTATTTTTTCTTTCTTTTTGTTGTTGTTGTTGTTGTTGTTGTTTTTTTCTTGCTTTTAGTCATTATTTCCACTTACTTTTGCTGAGAAATCCCGATGTCCCAGTGTCCCGTAAAGGGAATACAAACTGCAATTGATGTATCCGTTTAATTTCTCCCAATGCTGCTTTTCAGTCCTGAAGGCTTCTAATTTTCCAGACTTATAAAAAACTCTATTATTATGGGTTTACTTTAGTTATCGAAAGCAGCATAGCTGGTATCTGTGTGGTGCTGCTGCTACTGCAGATGCTTCAGCATTTAAAATAAGTTTAAGCGTCAATGAATTCTTTACGGTATTTTTGTCAATTTTTTTAGTTGGCCTAAAAAGTAACGTCAAAACTATTTGTTAATACAGTTCAACCAATTTTAACTGTTTTTAAAGTTATGAATGTCTGATGTGACGACAAATTTACCGTGGATTATTATTTTTTGGTGTTACCTATATATTTTCTTTTAATAATTCTATTAGTCATTCAGATGTATTTTTTTCTAACTTTTTTAGTAATGGTTAACGTTTATACACTGTAAATATATTCAAAATGCTTTTACTTCTGATGAAAGCAAAATGAATAAATATTATTTCTATGGATGTTTGTAATCTATCAATAACATTTTTTCTTTATTATTTATTAACTGACAGATATAATTAGTATTATTTGGTTTTATTTGTTAATTCAGTTTTAGCCTACCTTTTCTTTAACTTTTTAGTTGCATGATACCACTCTGTTATTATTTTGCTATTAGAGGATATCTGTTTTGCCTGGGCAGTAGTTTTTTTTTCATTTTTTTGCTTCTAAGCTTCAACTTTGTTTTTTTTTTTCTTTTGGTTTCTCTTCGGTTTACATCAATAGCAGTTTTGTTAATTGAATCTAAGATGTCGTGTAATTTATTTTAATTAATGTAAATTTTACAGCGCTCAACTAGTTCGAGCTCATTTTGAGAAACATCCACCAAGCAACCTTCGAAAGAGCAATTTCTTCCATTTTGTTGTTGCGCTCTACGATCGTGTTGGACAACCGATTGAGATCGAGCGAACACAGTTTGCTGATTTTGTGGAAAAAGATCGTGAAGTTGATGGACAAGTAACCCGGAACGGAATCCATTATAAGCTGTGGCTAGTGTTTGCCAATGGTTCGGTTAAATTTCTTCATCTACCTATTTATTCATTAATTCCATCTGTATCGGCTACAGATGTTTCCTGACCTAAGCAGTCACCTAGTTCTCCGTCTGCATACAGTCTGCTGTTTGTGAATTTAGGTTTCGAACGTTAAGTTTGGGTATTTGTTGTGTTTATCAGATTTATGATTTTATATTAACCACTTGAAGTTTCTTGTTATTCTGTTTTCTTCTTTTTTTTTTTTTTT